AGTTCCAAGCTTAAAGAAGATACGTCGCATGGGACCCACATGAATGACGTAGTAATGATGACTGTGACAATTTGATGTAATGTATCACAAAGTGTGTTATTGATATAGCTTGATACATGATTAACAAAGTATCATTACCAGACATGGTATACCACGACGTTTGGCAAATAATCATGTACTATGATGTACATTTCTTTATTATAATTGTTTCAAACTCCTAGGGTCTGGTATCATTACTGTCACTATTTAACCGATTACAATAAATATATTATAAACTGTATTACCCTATTAGTGTCTGGTTTAGCATAATTTAAATTGTATTAACCAAATAGGACCCAATGAAGTTTAATATATTACAAACTATATTAAGCACGAGTGGTCTGATATAATTACCGGTACACAGATTAATACATGCATGTTGTACAATCTACATATAAGATAATATGAGGTTATTACAAAGATACCGAAAAGTATGCACCTAGGCAGTACAGTATCTACTGACGCGCAGCGGAGGACGATGGACCGCGTGCTGTTTAAGTGCATACTTTTCGGTATCCTCATAATAACCTTACATCTTTTCCTCCCAAAGATACATCATGGGAATGCCTAAATACAAATAGTTTAGAACAGATTGAGGGAACTTCTTTGTATGAGGTCCAGTCAAAACCTTGGTGTCAGACATGTTTGTTTTTATTATTAGAGGACGCTTATGCGCGTAATCGTGCCATATTTGGAATTTGCATTTCCATATATGGTAGGATGAAAATACCCCGTAAAATACCACAAAATTACGGCACGCTGTAACTTATGGCGTTACGGTGACAGGTGTATAATAATATGAATTAGTGCATATAATTTTATTATAAATAAATTAACGGCTTTAAATAAAGAAATATTCGCCGGGATTATTTCGCACTGACATGCTGCTTCATGATATTCACAACTTTTACATTCTAAGTTTTGTGATTGAAAGAATACATTCAATGAGCACTTCTTCAAATTATACCTTAGTTTTAAAGCTTTTTTTTTGCTTTCTTTCTCAAAAGACTTTTTTGCTGTATTTCGTTTTTTCCATTTTTTCTCTGTGTCAATTTCTTCTTCTTACAAAGTTTTCACTGAGTTTCTTTTGGTTCATATTATTCAGGTTAAGGGATGTCACAGTGTAGACAATAATTTACTGACATGTTCAAAGAAAAGAAAAAAAAATAATATTTGATATAAAAGTCATTTGTATGAATTTCAATTCACAATGGCATAGTATTTTTTAGTGTTGTTTTTAATGACATGGGCCTTTAATTCTGCTGAGAAATGACATGGCCTTTAACGCTAGTGAGAAATGACATAGGCCTTTAATGCTATGAGAAATTATATGGCATTTAATGCGACTGAGAAATGACATGGGCCTTCAATACCAATGTGAAATGACATGGGCCTTAGATTCTATGAAGAAATGACATGGCCTTTAATGCTACTGAGAAATGACATGGCCTTTAATGA